TTTGTAACCATTTCCTCAACTGATATACTATAGGGTGTAGTTGGCCCATAAAAAAAGCAATCACTGCAGTCAGGGGAGTCAGCTGGTTATCAAGGGAGAAAGAGGAAAAGCCCAAGCAAGCCTTGATTTGCCTCCTACAGCGGAGCTGGAACTCAGAGCTCATGACAGGCCTCTGCGAATTCGCAGGGAAATTCCGGTGCGAAAGCCTAAGAAAGTGCTACAAGAAAAGGAACGTGTCCTTCAAAAACTAAGGGAAAGGAAGAAAGACATGATTGCCAACAGACTAATAATTACACACCACTGGAAATCACTTCCCTTTAGTCCTTTACTTTTAGGATTAAGTGAATGTATTCTTGCTGTAACAACAGTATTTTTTGTTCTTTTTTAAAATGAAAATTAGCTTTATTTACTTATGTTTGTAAAAACAAGCCATGCTCATTATTTTGGAAAACAGACAGTAACCCTTAAATTCGAATCTTTAACTAATGATGGTGTATGTGTGTATATATACATATATTTATTAAATATATTAAAATATGTATCTATTTACATGGCTTTTATTCGTCAGAGAAACAAAAGATTCTCTATAGTATCTGCAATGAATGAGACACCATACTGTGGTGTGGCTTGAAACTTTACAGTATTTGAAAGCTTTTTTTAAAGTTTGATCAGTGATGATTCCATATGGTTAACTTGTTTCAAGTTGTTAAAATTTTAGCTTATTATCTCTGATTAGAAATTATCAGAAAATATTAGTGACGAAATACATATATTATACATTTTTGTTTCTGACTGTTTCAGAATAATGGATGGGCATCCAAAACCAGTGGGTATAATAAAAAATACTGAAATATCCATTTGCTTTTTTTGAATTTCACGAAAGATAAATGTGTGATACATGGGCTAATGTGCTTTTAATAGACAATAGGAGGAGCAATGACTTATAATACTAAATACATCAATAAGATTAAATTACATGAATTAATATAGTAGCAAAATAATAAATGGATGATATAAAGCAACTCCTACTTACCAACAGGTGTAAGTCCGTGCTTTAGAGAATCCTGTAAATTTCCAGTATCCGAATTAGAAGACATTCTTAGTGAAATTACAGGTGGTCCTTTGGTTTAAAGCAGAAATCATTGAGCATAAGAAAAAGTATAGCTTTTGTAGCCTTGAGGAGGACACATCAGACTACAGTAACCCTTAGTGAAAGTTAAAAAAAAAATAGCAAAAAAAAAAAAAAAAAAAAAAAAAAAAAAAAAAAAAAAAAAAAGGTCCAAGAATTCAGAAAGTTACAAGCAAGTCTTTCCCTGGACTCTGTACTTTTTCCAGCATTAGTTGCCTGCTGTAAACCATGTATCCAGTTACATGATGGTTTCTAATCAGAAGAATGGAAACTTTTGATAGGCTTGGATGGATCACATGACTCTATGCAGGTTGATAAGAGGACCCTGTTATAAAGTGACAGCAAAAGAGATAAGAACTCCTGGCAGATAATGGCAAAGAAATGATTAACTCAGAAGTAGAGAGGTGCTATGCAGCACAGAGAGTGGAAAGTTGTAAAACTGAGGGGTCAGAAGATCATACTTAGTGGATAAAACTCCAAACCAACTTAAATCTACTAACTGAACTTAGGCTTGTGACATACCCCCTTGATGTCATCACCTCTTTGCATAGAGGAGGACAGACGTAGCTCTTCTGACCTCTGTAAATACATTTTAGATGATAACATTGGCACACATTAATTCTTTAAATGATGACTAGAGATATGATTGACACTTTAAAATACTACAGGTAGTATTTCCAAGCTTATGGCTATTTATTCATTCATGCATCGTCAACCAACTTTTTAATCATGCCTATTCATTAGCCGAGTTGTTAATCTTAGCTTATTTGGACACTGGTCAGTTGATTAAAAGGGCAGCCTATCTATTTACCCCCAATAAAGTAAAATTTATACTTTGAGGTTGGTGCTGGCAAAATGGTGAATGTGTAATATATTTTCCATAATTTTAAGTAATTATTCTTTGCTTGAATCCATAGGAAAAATCTGGATCACTCTTTGCCATGAAAGAATTATTATGCAAATGACCAAGGGTAGTTTTAGGCTCTTGTTAAATATCCCTATTGTTCTTCAAAGTAATAAACTATGGATTGTATAACAATGCATATCTTTTCCCATGTTGTGGAGCAGTTCATTGTTTTCTTATTTGTTTTGATTTCTCTAATGAAGCAAACTTTTTTTTTTTTTGCCTGAGATTCTATTTAGAAAACTCAAAATGTTTATGTACAGCATTTTTAAAAAAAATTTTAATGTTTATTTTTGAGAGAGAGAGAGAGACAGAGTGAGCAGGGGAGGGGCAGAGAGAGAGGGAGACACAGAATCCGAAGCAGGCTCCAGGCTCTGAGCTGTCAGCACAGAGCCCGATGTGGGGCTTGAACTCATGAACCATGAGATCATGACCTGAGCCGAAGTCAGACGCTTAGTCAACTGAGCCACCTGGGCACCCCTGTTCAAAGTTATATTTTCTTGGGTTAGATTTCACTGCATATAATAGAAAAGTCATAATAACAGTGGTTTAAATAAAACCTTTGTTTTCCTCTTAGAAGTTCAGATGTAGACAATCCAGGGATGGTACAATAGCTCTACAAAGTTGTCGGGGACCTGGTTCCTTCCGTTTTTACTATCCTTGATCTCTTTTCTTCATGTTCTAAAATGGCTGCTAGAATTCCAGTTCTCATTCCAGGAAGCAGTATGGAGGAAAGAGAGAGAACGCCATACTTGTTTTTTTTTTTTTTTTTAACGTTTATTCATTTTTGAGAGACAGAGAGAGACAGAGCATGAGCGGGGAAGGGGGAGGCAGAGGGAGACACACAATGTGAAACAAGCTCCAGTCTCTGAGCTGTCAGCACAGAGCCCGATGCGGGGCTTAGGCTCACAAACTGCGAGATCCTGACCTGAGCCAAGTTGGGTGTTCAACCCACTGAGTCACCCAGGTGCCCTGAATGCATACTTGTTTTTAAGTACATTACCTGTAAGTACCACATAAACATGTTACTTACATTTCATTATGCAGAAATTAGATACATGCTTACCCTTAGCTGCAAGGGAAGCTAGGAAGTGAAGTATTTTAATGAGCAAGTATTTCAAACTAAAAAAGATTGGGTGATTATAATCATCCATGTCAGTTCTTTACTGTTCTTTCTTTCGTTTTTTAAACTTTATTTATTTTGAGAGAGAGAGAGAGAGAATGAGTGAGGGAGGAGCAGAGAGAGAGAGAGAGAGAGAGAGAGAGAGAATCCCAAGCAGGCTCTGTGCTGTCATCATAGAGCACGAGCGGGGCATGATCTCATGAACCCATGAGATCGTGACCTGAGCCAAAATCAAGAGTTGGTTGCTTAACTGAGTGAGCCATCCAACTTCCCCGGTTATTTTTTAAAATAATCAAACAATAGGGGCATCTGGCTGACTCAGTCAGTAGAGCATGTGATCCTGGATCTCCTTGGGTGTGTAGAGCTTACTTAAAAAACAACAACAACAAAAACAACAAAAAACCCAACTTTATTAAAAAAAATGAATAATCAAACAATAACATGCCACAATACTAGAAATGTACCTATGCATGTGTTAAAGGACATATGCATCTGCTATTCTCTCTTTTTTCTTAAGATTATTTATTTGAGTCATCTCTACACCCAACATAGGGCCCCAAGATGAAGAGTCACATGCTCCTCTGACTGAGCCAGCCAGGTGGCCCAAAGCAGCTGTTCTCGTAAAAATTATTAGGACCCCCAAAAGTTTTTGCTTCTGTGAATTATACCTATGAGTATTTGTTGTACTCATGATTAAAATTGAGAAAATAAGTTATTAATTATTTAGAAATATACTAATTTATTTTTATTAAAAAACATTAATATGTGCAGTGTATTTTAAATTAAAATAACTCTTTTTCAAAACAAAATAATTCATAAAAAAGCAGCATTTCCAGAAGTCTTTTTAATATCCACCTTAATAGAAAGCTGGAGTCTCACATCTGCTTCTACATTCAATCTGTAGCAATATATTGTTTTTGTTAAAGTATATATAAGAAAATATGGTCTTCAATATATGAAGATAGAAAAAGGAGGAATATTATAATAACTTCTTCAAATAATTTTGGATTTTTTTCTTTGACACTGCATCAAAACTCCACAAGTAATATCTTCTTAAAGACTAGTTGTAATGTGGAATCTGAAACCATATCTGTGAACTTTTTGCACCCTATTATACTAAAATTCATTGGCTTATTTTAGACTTAAAATACACCTTTCACCTATGCATGATTTTGTTACATCTTACGTTGGTAATTTGGAAGATAGAAGTTCATCAAATTTGGCAAATTTTCTAAATGTTGACGTGTTTTGTTACAGAATATCAAAAATTCTATTTATTGGTATGCCTGGTCCGACTCTTGATCCCGGCTCAGGTCGTGATCTTACAATTTGTGAGATCCAGCCCTGCCTTGGGCTCTGCACTGACACAACTTGTGCACTCTCTCTCTTTCTCGAAACAAACATTAAAAAAATTCTGTTTATTAATATTACCACTGATCTCATCAGATGTCTTTAAATACTGGGAAGCTGTCAAACTCACCGTGGAATATACACATTTTCTTAAATCCAAATTTTCACTTGGAAGCCTGAATTTTACCAATGGAAAGAAGTACCATCAGTTTTTTCTGTGCAGTAACAGGTTCACTTCATATTTGAGAATTTCCTCCAAAATACCCACGTCTAAATAACCACAGTTTATCTATAGGTCATTCTTAAAATGTAGAAATAACGTTCCATTTTAAAAAGCAGCTAGATCAGCTCCCCACTTGAACAGTCACATCAGTGTTTTTCCTAGAATCAGCCTTCATGGTTTGACTTAAGCACTTAATGACACTTGAAGAACTTAAAGAACTATGGGCAGTACATTCAGGGGGAAATTTAAGTTTTACTTTGTGAAGTAGCTGTGTTCTTAGAGTATCGTGTTAATTACTTTTTACAACCCACATCATATATTCAACACGGTAGTTGTTCCGCTCAGAATACAACATATGGAATTTTTTATAAAACAAAATGATCTGTTAATTTCATCTATTTTAAAAACATACTTTCAGGGGCGCCTGGGTGGCGCAGTCGGTTAAGCGCCCGACTTCAGCCAGGTCACGATCTCGCGGTCCGTGGGTTCGAGCCCCGCGTCGGGCTCTGGGCTGATGGCTCAGAGCCTGGAGCCTGTTTCCGATTCTGTGTCTCCCTCTCTCTCTGCCTTTCCCCCGTTCATGCTCTGTCTCTCTCTGTCCCAAAAATAAATAAACGTTGGAAAAAAAAATTAAAAAACAAACAAACAAACAAACAAACAAACAAAAAACATACTTTCATATTTGTATTTCTGTGAAATTGGGGGCATAGAAGAAATCCAAATTGAATTAAAATAAATTATTTCTTCTTTTGTCAAATACTATGAGCCATTTCCCACCCCCCACCCCCATGTTGAAAAGGAGGCAAGTTGAGATTTCATCTGTGAATAGAAATTTTCCTGGTCTCATAGGCTTCCATATCCTAACCTGGGGCTGCATGTCCCCAGTGTGTTGTGAGGGATTCAGAACAAGGAGGAGCTTATTACAGAATTTTATGTGCTAGCCTATGATCCTATGTATCCTATGATTTTAGCTATTCTTTTTAATTTTTTTTTAATGTTTATTTTTGAGAGGGAGAGAGAGACAGAATGTGAGCGGGGGAGAGGCAGAGAGACAGGGAGACACAGAATCTGAAGCGGGCTCCAGGCTCTGAGCTGTCAGCACAGAGCCCGACGTGGGGCTCAAACTCGTGAACCACGAGATCGTGACCTGTGCTGAAGTCAGACATCTAACCAACTAAGCCACCCAGGCGGCCCCAATTTTAGCTATTCTTATGGCTTTTCATCTCTTTGAAACAAATGTCAAGATTATTTAAAATGTACCTCTCTGTGTCTTGGGGATACATTGTCCGTGATTAGAAGACTGGTTTCTGGAGAAATGGTTTGTGTTTATGGCATTGAAGTTAGAAAATTCAAGGATATTTCCCTGAG